TCGCACCTGTAGATGAGCATTCCATAAGAATTGCTCCAGAGAGGATCCAGAATGTCTCTCTGGAAGGTGATGTTTTAACCATTTCTCTCCACAGGGACTATGTTGAATCTGTAGATCTGGCAGGTCATGCTCAATTCCTTGCCAGAATTGAAAGGGTTAATAACAACTTATTCTTCCCTATTCAAATACATGACTTAGGAAGAAGTAGGAATGCAAAGCTGGACTTACAGCGTGAGAACAGCTATATTAGCAGAAGTCTGTTAAAGCAGATCGCTAATCCTAAAATGATCAGGTACGCTTCCCCACATGACAGGTGGATCCAGAACCTGGATGGTGAATCAGAGAGTCACAATGTGATAGCAAAATGTTTACTATCTATTTCCATCGGAAATAAGACAGTTAAACATTTATTCCTAGTGATAGACGAACCTCGCTATCAGGTTTACGTTGGCAATGATGTCATACATCGCTTTGCCATACACCTTGATCTGATTAATTCCAACTTGTGGACAAGGTTAAAAGGTAATCCTTATGGATACCTTCACGAGGAAAACGCCTTGAAATCAGGACAAATACTCCCATATGCGGTAAGTATCCAAGTTCCTGATGACATAACCATCCCACAGGGGACAAGTAATTTTCTTTTACCCCTACAGGTCAAGGAGGGTCAGAGATTAGAAAACTCTGATGCCCTAATCTGTTTATCCAACAGGATACAACAATTAGGGATGGTGGTAACACATACACCAATGGTAAGTATTGGTAAGAATCCCACCTATATCATGGTCAACAATGTTACACCCAATAGTGTTACTTTACCAAAAGGAACATTATTAGGTCTAGCATTGGATGCTGAGTACTATACATTTGGTTTCCAAAACCAAATTATAGGCCTCATCCCTGAAGAATACTTAACTGAGGACGAAATTGTCGATCAAATATTCCATTCCTCCCCAGAAGGATTATTCACTATCCTATCTGTGTATCCCTTCAATGTTGAAGAAGGCTCGTGTAAAATCGAAGAAGCATCTATCACCTTCGATCATCCGCTCAATGAGCAGGAATCACAAGAGTATCACGACCAAAGAGAAAAGGTAAGTCAACACCGAACTGACCTAACTTCTAGGCTTGAAGAAGCTTATGAGATAGGCCAGCCTGAAATCTTTCCAGGATTTCAGGAAAGGCTAGAAGAGCAAATATCTTTAGCTGACGGTTGCTCCAACGATGCTGAGCGGCAACAGCTAAAGGAAATCCTTTTGGAATTCCAAGATATTTTTGCCAAAGATTCCTACGACTGTGGGTTAACTAACCTCCACGTAGCCAGAATACAAACTGATCCAAATTTACCACCTGTATTTATCAAACAATATAGACTCCCATTAGCGTCATATGATGGTCTACAAGACATCATTCAGAATTTAAAGGAAAGGGGCATTATACGTCCAGTGCACAGTTCGTATAATAATCCGATCTTGGGGATTCTGAAACCTAATGGACAATGGCGTTTATGCGCTGACTTACGACAGCTAAATAAACGCGTCTATATGTCTGGTTGGCCAACACCATACATAGACCAATGTTTGGTACAAATGCAGGGATCCAAAATATTCACTGCCATTGACTGTGCGCAGGGATATTGGACTGTACCAGTCCATAATGAAGACCAATACAAATTGGCCTTCACATTTGGAAAGCAGCAGTATACCTGGACCCGTATGCCTTTCGGTTACATAAACTCTGGTCATGAATTCGCTGTGTTCATGCATAAAGCTATGCCTGACGCACTCGAGAGAGGAACGTTATCATATGTCGACGATGTCTTGCTGAAAAGCACCTCCTTTGATAACCATATCTTAGAGATTAGACATGTTCTCACTCAGTTAAGAGAGGCAGGGATTAAACTGTCTTTACAAAAGGCACAATGGTGTCGCACCCATGTCAATTTCCTCGGACATGAGGTAACTTCTGAAGGATTAAATCCCCAGAGGAAGAAGGTTGAAGCCGTACTAAAGGCTAAAACACCTTCAAACATCAGGGAATTAAGATCGTTCCTTGGTATGACTAACTACTCCCGTAAGTTTATAGATAACTATGCAGAAATAACTAAACCACTCTTACACCTGCTTAAAAAGGAAAATACCTGGAACTGGGGGGAGCCTCAGGACCAAACGGTAAGTGAACTGAGGAGGAAGCTCACTCAGGCACCCTGTTTAGCATACCCAGAGGGGGGTAAACCCTTCTATCTGGAGACAGGATATACCGATTTAAGCATAAGTGCTGTTCTGTATCAGAAGCAGGACAGTTTAAACAAAGTTATTGCATATGCTAGCAAGACTTTGTCACCTGTTGAAGTTAAATTCAACACGTGTGAGAAGGCGTTATTGTCGACTGTCTGGGCACTACAAAATTTTCGTAGCTATATCCAAGGTGAGAAAATAATTGTAGAAACAGCTCACCAACCTCTACAGTATCTGCAGAGTGAAAGAATTAGAGACGGTAATCTCTCTAACAGTCGGATTACTGCATGGACTCTATCCTTACAGGGATGGCCGTTAGAAGTCCGTTATAAACATAATAAGAGAAGCCCAGTTGCCCAAGGTTTAGCAGAATTACATGACTGTACTGCTCCATCTCTGGATGATAATGACACCGGAGATGACTTCCTAGAAGAGCAATTGCTATCTCCTTATAAAGTTTATGACGAGGAATACTGTCGACCACTACCGTGGGTATACATTGATGGTTGTTCATATCACCACGTCGTTGGTGCTGAACGGAAGTTAGTTGCAGGTATCGGAATCGCCTGGACAGGTGATTATCCCAATGTATCTATAGGATACAATATTGGTCCCAAAAGCAGTCAGATAGCCGAACTCTGTGCAGTATATAAGACAATTCAAATGGCAATAGAATATGGTATCAAAGAATTTGTTATTATAACTGATTCCAACTATGTTCGCAACAGTTTCGTCGAATATCTGCCTAGCTGGAAACGTAACCAAATGCTGAAAAGCAATAACAAACCTGTTAAACATGGGAAATTGTTTTGTAAAATCGATGAACTGGTTAAGGAAAATGGTTTATCCATATATTGGAAGAAAACCAAAGGCCATTCTAAAATAGAAGGTATTGACAAGGATGGTAATGACTTAGCCGATTCACTGGCAAAACAAGCTGCCATCAATGGTGAAACCTTAAACATTGATGATCTTATGGGTTCACTTCATGTTGAAGCCATAACTAGACGACAGGCTAGAGATAATGCCGACTTAAATGTCGTGCAATGGAGTCAAGAAGCTCCTAGTGATGACCTGATTACTAGTCAAAAGAATGATCCCGTCATAGGCATATTCTATAAACATATAGAAGACCCTACTGCCAATCCCATCACAGATGAGGATTGCAAAGATAATGAAGATTTACGAATCTTGATGAGATATAAAGTCCAATTTAGTATCATGGATGGGTTACTGGTCAGAACTTCTAAACATGGTATACAACAATGGGTAGTCCCAACTGTATACAGAGGGTTAATGCTCCAACACGCACATGATGCACCTACATCTGGGCATCGTGGTGATAAGATCACATATGAGATATTGCGTGATTATGCATATTGGCCACACATGTTAAGGGATGTTAAGACATACTGTCAGGGATGCTTGATTTGTCCGCAATATCAACCCCATGGTCCAACCCATCGTGCACCACTTCAGAAGAGGGGGGTGTCATTACCCTGGTCTGATATTCAAATTGACTTTATAGGTCCTGTAACAAGATCTTCAAGAGGTAACAAATACATGTTAACTGTTACATGTATGTACACAAAGTGGATAGAATGTTTGCCTTGTAAAGAGAACACGAGTACCGTGTGCGCCACTTTGTTGATTAACCATGTCTTTTCCAGGTTCGGTCTGCCTCAAAGAATTGAGTCAGACAGAGGTAGTCACTTTACCAGCGAAGTAATGGTTAAGATGTGGAACATTCTAGGTGTTAAACGAAAGCTACATATTGCATACCGCGCTGCGTCTAGCGGGGGGGTAGAGCGATATAACCAGTCTATCGTTAATATTCTAAAGAAGTATGTTAAGGAGTCTGGTAAAGACTGGGACATTAAATTGCCCCTAGTTTTAATGGCGATTAGAGCCACACCTAGCACTGCTACCAAATTGTCACCTTTTGAATTGATGACAGGAAGAAAGATGGTTTTACCACAGCATTTACTATATCGTACTTCGGATCATAACTTGATCAATGCTGCCACTACGCATCAGTATATCGAAGATTTGCGCAAGCATTTACAGCATGCGTTTGCTTTTGCCCAAAAGAATCTAGAAAAAGCAGCGACAGGGGTTAAGACCTATTACGATCTAAAAACCACGAAAAAGGAATATGAGATAACAGATCAAGTCTATCTGTATAACTTTGCGCGAAATCAAGTCAAGGAAAAGAAATTTTTACCTTCTTGGAAAGGGCCATATGTCATTATTGACAAAATTTCCCCAGTAGCGTATAAGATAAAAATTCCTAAGGATGGTGATTTTATTGAAAAGTGGGTTCACATTAACCAGTTGCGTGCTTGTCATCCTAAATCTCAATTAAGGATTATAGGTGTGGATTCAGATGCAGAAGGGTGAACGACTAACCTGGATGAATGCTTGATTCACGTGGTATAGTATGATGTGAAATGTTGTGATGTGCCATGATCTCATGTACGTTCATGTCATTAACCATTTCCTTGCCATCCAATAACTACATTTTATAAGCAGGTTACTAGCTTGTTTAAATGCTATAGGCGATTACTGAAGAGTCAGTAATAAATGCAGTGAGGGATGAAGTTATAAAAATAGAATTAGACAGAATACATATGTTGATGAATCGTAATAATGTGTTGTCCTAGGCCAAGTGATGTCACACTGTTATAAGTTTGTATGCTTAACAAACCTTGAATCATTAGTAGATAAGTCTGAAACGAGTTCCTGATCCGTGACTGTCGAAAGATGTCCAAGAAGGATGTGGCGTGTTTCTGGATCGTACTGCTCCTGTGCCAAGAGCTACGGACCGACCCGATCGCAGAGATGGGACCATCCTCCGGCATCCTGATTCAAGAGACACCAGGGTTCATCTTAACAGTGAAGAGGATCCTGACCCGACGTGTGTTCGTCAGCTTGGACCCCAAGATTTCCATCGAGAAGGCATACAACATTTCATCGATGCAGCTTCCTGAGTTACAGACTTGGTACCAGATGCACCTCCAAAGAGCACAGGACCGTGTGCGAAACATCTTGGAGCAAGCCCGGAAACCATTTGTATCCAGTTCTATTCCGATGAGCAACCGACCCAAAAGGTTCCTCACCGCTATAATTGTTGCATTAGTTTGTGCCACTGTCGGTGCAGTTGTCGCAACTGGAATGTCTGCAGCCAACTCTATTACTGTCCAAAAGCTGGATATGGAAATCTATGCGCTAAAGCAACACATTAACGATATTCATCAGGTGATACAACAGCAAAGAACACTTCTCCAAGACGTGTTAACTATTGTGGAAGACACAGTTGTTACAACAAATTTGCATTCAGAGTTAATTGCCAAATCCACTGAGTTGCACCAAAGTCATGACTTATTCAAGCGTGAACTTTTATTTCTGCATGACCCAATATTGTTCCACACACTTGCTTTTCTTGACGAAGTGCAAACTGGAATGATCGAATTGGCAGGGGGACGCATACCTCTGTATTTTGTATCCAAGGATATTGTTCATGCGATGCTTGCCAATGTGGATGGAGAGACAATTGAGCCTATGCAATTAAATCTGGCCTTTGAGATGGGGAGCGCTATACCTCTCTTAATTGATCCGGAACGTATGGAGATTTGCTTTTTATTGACCATACCATATGTAATTCTCAAAGACATTTTTCAAATGAAAATAATGTACTATGTAATAATGATATTATGGTTGATTGTACTAAGTGTAAAGTTCAAAACTCTTACAGGTACAAATATATACAAAAATGTTCATTCCACGCACGGGCTTCTGTTAGAAATGATGTGATTGCACAATATGTCTGATAACTTCTATAGTGCTTATTCATAAGCTAAATTAATTTTGGCTATGAAATGCACTAAAGGGGGGTTATGTCAGAGTATTTATATCGGCAGACATTTTGTGCTAAGATAGAAACTAAAAGTGTATATTCTGAGTCACTCTGAACAGACCAGACTCCATTTTGTTATTCCAAGTTAACAAAGACAAAGAGACACAGGATTTCTTTCTGTAAGACTGGCCTCTTTGCCAGAGCTAAGGAATGCATAGTATATACAAGCCAAGTGATAAGGAAGGGGGTTGGACAGACTGTCTAATGCTAATGGAATATAATCAAATCTAAACCCAGACAATTGTGACAGAGAAGATTAAATAATTTAATATTTAACTGTCTATATATATAAGGTACCATTGTATGGAAAAGGGTAAACTTAGTTCATGATCTGTCATATCAGAAATTATGGCAGGAATTGCAGACGCTAAGTCTGGACAAAATTTAAGAAACCCTTTGAAATTTTAAGTTATAGCCACTATCTAGATAGGCCAAAATGACGTCAAAATAGTCACCAGGAAAAGTTAACTCTTTCCTGGATAGGTATGTTTAGTGGGACAAGACTGCCCTCTACAGACCAAATACCTAATTTGCGATCTGGAAGATAACCACACCTCTAGTGCTTCTATTGGGTTATCAACTGATGACGTACAGAGAGTATGGCCCTTTAAAAGTTAAGACAAAGGGAAGATAGGGAGATAGGAGAGGGGAGGCAGATGCAGGACATATGCAAAGGAGAGGAGAGAGGAATTGGAAGTTTGGGGACTCCAACTCGGACAACATCTGAGACTAACACTCTACTCCTAAAACTCTAACACTTAGAATTTACTGACTTTCACCAACACCTCCATGCAGAGACACATCCAAATAAGTTCCTGAGACTATCTACCAATCGGATGAAATATCTACTCAACTGGTAATTATACTGGTTTCATTTAATTAAATTAAATTAATTAAAATGTATTAATAGCATTATATATGACTGGATAAAGCACGGTCAGATTTCCATATTAAGAAATCTTAGTTAACTAAGAATATATAGTTATAAACATTCCATTCTGCAGGTGGAATTAAGAATAATTATATATTGATGTGATATTATCACGTGTTAGCATACCGCTGTTTTTATCCAGGTGTATTGATTTGCTCTAAATTAAGATAGATATCTTTTAGACAAATTAAAAATCTGCTTATATAATATGTAGATTCTCTTATTGGATTGTTTTCAGGAAATGGCTAATGAACTGGTTTAAATGTTATTTTATTTAAAAATTACATAAGAATAGATCTTAACTACCTAGGAGATCTAGCCAGCATTGAAAGGGTTATTCTAACTGTCTGCTAAACTTTACGACCTTACGCTGCACTCTGAGGAATTCTGTTCTTCGCTGTGAAAAGTTTCACTTTAAGTCTGTGAAAGATAGTCATAAATAATTCTTGACAGGAAATGCTATTTTGCCATTGTAACGTAATACCCATTTCTTTGTATTGCATACCAATTTATACTGAATATTCATTGATTATTGTCATGCATGTTACATATAATATTATTATTATTAATTTGTCATATAAATAAAAATCTATTTTTATACATTGTGATATTAATTATATGAAATACATTTCACTTACGATAAACGTTCTTTGGGATCTGAGAATTGAATTAGTGGGCGATTCTCACTGTTACTATTATTATCCCATAAATATCCCCACAAGGCTAGCTCTGCAGGCGGGGAGCTGCTGTCTGGACTCTCTATGCTGTGTAGCTGCTCCCCCACGGATCAGTGAGTAGAGAGATGCAGGTGCATGCTTTAACTTCCTATCCCTGCCTCTCTCCACACACACAGTAATCTCTGTTTATACGGAGAACAATGCCGGCATTTGTATTGCCGGTATTACTGCAATATCGGCACCAGCCTGGCAGCCTGAAATAAATACCAGCCAGGTGGCAACCCTAGCACAGCTTCGGGGGTGCCCTGAGGTGGCCAGATGTCCGCCTCCTTCCCCCCGTGACAGAGCTCCTCTCAACGCCCCACCTTCGGGCGCCTTGAGAATCGACTCGGCACTGGGGGCGGCTCAAGATCTGTTCGCCCAGCGCTGAGGCTCCAATAGTGTGTAAAAAAAATAAAATAAATGGACCTATTCCATGGTCGTATGCCTGGGTCTGCAGCTCCATCAGCCCCTATCTTAATCTAGCCCTGCACTTAAATATGCAGCCCTCAGACCCGAACCCTGCTGAAAGGTGAAAGCGGGTTTGTGGACATGCAGACCAGCTCAACTCAGGGCCTGGACTCTGGGGGTGTGAAAAGGTCTGACACAGAGGGCGATCCATATCCCTAGAGTATAGCACATGGGATAGTGAAAACCCACACTTGACATAGAGAATGCTGGTCCAGAGAAACACACCTGTGGTGTGGGATGAGCCTGGAAGAGGGAAACCTCGATTTATTGCAGATATTGATAAATAGTACATGTGACGAGACCAATCTCGCCACATTGCATTGGAGAAGCCTGGTTGCCCGCCTGTTGCCTCTGGACTATGGCCCCATGTTAAAAAGCCTTCTTTTCCCCTGCAGAAAAGGCTTGTTCATGCCTTTCTGCCCGGTGTTCGGTAGATTCAATCTACTGAACAAACAACCGATTGACAGGACCACCTGTATTGGGAGTGTGTCGGCAATTTACCTCCCAGAAGCTGCGGTTAACCACAGCTTAATTGACAAATGCTGGGTGGCCTTTGTTCGTTTGCCGAACACGTGGCGGCGGCCATTTTAAAGTCCCGAGCGGCCAGCGGTGTTCTGCGCCCAAACTATGGAACTGGAAACAGACACTTATTTGCGCGAACACCACTGAGCCGTCAGCCTCCTTGCTTCTGCATTCGGTTATTTAACCGGATGCCTGTTCATTCGGTAGTTTAAACCGTATGAACAGCATTATCCCAGATAGCCATCCCGTGGAGTCTATTCGTATGGAGAACAGACTTTGTGAACACTTTAACTAGACGGAGATTGGACTGTGTGCATAGGATCTGAGCGCTATTTGGTACTTTTGTGTGCTCAGATCCCAGCTGTCTGGGGATGGGTTACATGTATGTATTTTATGTGACAAATGTAACATTATGTATTTTATTGTATTTTAGTGTTTTATTGTAACCATGTGGTAAATGGAGTTTTGCCTCTGTCCTTGGAGATAATTGGATTACTTCCCAATTATCTCCAGGATAGAGGGGAGGGATTGTAATGTGTTTTAACCCTGTATGCCTGTGATTGGTCATTTCACCATTTGTGTCCCAATCTTCCATCTGGTCCCCTAGGGGAGTGTCCACCAGGTGGAAGACCTGCATAAATACCGGGCAGGTAGCCCACATTAAACCGGAGCTCTGTCTCGTCTTTGGGGGGATTTACTGTATGCTGTTAGAGACTGATTGCCAGGAGTGTAAGCCGCTTGGGTGCTTTTCCTGTTCGTCTGGTAGCAGCTATTAGTGAGGTTACGGTTCAGGAGTTTGGAGTGCTATTTTGTATGCAGTTCGGGAGTTTGGAGCATTCCCTTGTATTCAGTTCGGGAGTTTGGTGTTCTGCAGTAGCTGTGCCTGTATCGCTGGAAGGGGAAGATCTTCTAAACGGCGGTTTAACCCTTTAATGCCTATGGGTGCCGTTACAGTACAGCTATTCTTTCCTCTTACTATGTGTTGGCTACCCAGGGGCACTTAAGTAACGGCACACCCAGGCATATTCTTACATATACATAGCAGTATACATATACAATACCCCTTTCGATTGTATATGCCTTGCTTACCGTTATACCATGCTTCCCATTCTCTCTCCTTAACTTACTCTTGAACCTAGCATGTCAGGATAGAGTTTTTTTTTCCTCTGGTAACATACCTATAATCTCTCCTTCCAGACATGTTTACTTAGCCTGTCTTTTATGTTTATTTCAACCATAAAAATGTGCAATTTCTCTTCTGCTATGGCATAAAACCTACATGTAAGCTTGCGATATGCTGGATACTGTTGTTGTGGCATCTCCCGTCTGTATGTTATTCTTTGCACTAGGAAAAAAAATAAAATAAAAATAATCTGCCATTTGAGTGCCAGTCCCCCAATCTATCTAAATCTCTCAGCAGCAGAGCAATATCCTGCACATTGTATTCTTTTACAAAGTTTTGTGTCATGTGCAAACACTGATACATGGCTTTCAATGCCTATTTCAAGATCATTACTAAATATGTTAAATAGAAGTGGTCCCAGAACAGAACCCTGAGACAGAACTTACCACTTTTGTCCACCTTGAAAATTTACCATTAATCACAACTCTCTGTGCTCTATTTATAAATAATAATAATAATAATAATGAAGATTATTATTATTATTATTATTATTATTGTTATTATTATTATAATATGGGAGAGGTATGTAATAAAGTCTTCTAGATTCTATGGTGAGTTCCTAGCCACTATGTCATAAAGAATGGTGTCTGATAAACTATTCATAAACACATCCATACAATCTTGGTTGGTCTAGTTGATTTTTGCAGCTAGGGTGCAGAAATCCAGGGATCCACTTTGATCCAACATGCAGTGTCTATGTAAAATGTAGCTTAAACTTTTGTGAAATATATGTATTACTGGGCCTTAGAGTGGTTAGACTTAACGTAAATATGAAATGGTCAGAAACAAGCCTAAATCAGGATTACAGAAAAAAGAATAGCCAATAACAACTTAAGGTCAGAATAGCCAAATAGAAAAAGTATTTGATCCCTTGCTGATTTTAAATGTTTGTCCACTGAAATGATCAGTCTATAATTTTAATGGTGTATTTTAACAGTGAGAGACAAAATAACAAATAAAAAAAAAATCCAGAAAAATGCAAGTCAAAAAAGTAATAAATTGATTTGCATGTCAATGAGTGAAATAAGTATTTGATCCCCTATCAATCAGCAAGATTTCTGGCTCTTAAAGGGAGTGTTCACAATCTCAGCTCGTTACTTGTATAAAAGACACCTGGCCACAGACGCAGTCAATCAATCAGATTCCAAACTCTCCACCATGACCATAGAGCTGTCCAAGGATGTCAGGGACAAGATTGTAGACATACACAAGTATGGAATGGGCTACAAGACCATCGCTAAGCAGCTTGGTGAGAAGGTAACAACAGATGGTGCAATTATTTTCAAATGGAAGAAACACAAAATAACTGTCAGTCTCCCTCGGTCTGGTGCTCCATGCAGGATCTCACCTCGTGGAGTTTCAATGATCATGAGAACAGTGAGGAATCAGTCCAGAACTACACAGGAGGATCTTGTTAATGATCTCAAGACAATTGGGACCATAGTCACCAAGAAAACAATAGGTAACACACTACGCTGTGAAGCACTGAATTCCTACAGTGCCAGCAAGGTCAAGAAAGCACATGTACAGGCCCATCTGAAGTTTGCCAGTGAATATCTGAATGATTCAGAGGAGAACTGGGTGAAAGTGTTGCGGTCAGATGAAGTGCCGGTGCAAGGATTTCTGCCACCCTAGGCAAAAATCCATTTTGCCGCCCCTTTATGTTACTCACTTACTGACAGACACACACTGGCTGACACACACTCACTGACACACACACAGAAACTCACTGACAGACAGACAGACACACACACATTATCTGATAGACATAAACTCAATCACTGACAGACATACACTCACTCACTGACACACACATAAAGACAGACAATCATTGACATACATACACTCACTCACTGACAGACACACACACAGACAGACATTCACTGACAGACACACACATTGACAGTCAAACACTCACACACTCACTGACAGACACACAAACAGGCAGACACTCACTGACATACATACACACACTCCCTCACTGACAGACACACACACACACACAGGCAGACACTCACTGACAGACACACACACACACTCACTGGCAGTCAAACATTCACTGACACACAGACTCACACAATTTTATTTTTTGAGGCCCATCCAGTCTCCCTACCTCCCTGGGGTCCAGTGTAGGGCAGCTCCTGACTCCTCTGGTGTGCTGTTTACTATTCCAGGGCCGGCATCAAAGAGGCCACATGAGGGAGGAGTAAGAGGCTGCAAGAAGAGACTCCCTCGACATCTGGCTTCTCACCAGCATTTTTTGCCAGAGCAGGCATCTGCCATCAAGGTAAGCAGGTTGTAGAATATTGCATATTCTATGTTTCTATTGATTATATATATGGATGTGTGGATTGACATAAGTAACAGATGGTATCAATAAGTCACAAGGCTTTCTTTGTCCGAGAGCTCTGGAATGTGGATTCAGGGGTCTTTTCCTTATATGGCTAGAGTTAAATGCTGACGTTAGTATTAGCACATCAATATAGTAACAGAGGGACACGAGGTCGCGCTCTGTCTTGGCTTGGCTCTGTACAACGATGTAACTCTCCCATCAGAAGTCCAGCAATTACCATCTGCTGTTGAATGTACATTATCCTGTAACATCATTTATTATGTTTTATTATGTATCCGTAACAAAGAATAAACCTGAAGAAACCGTAAGTCAGATTGCGTATTACTACTTTTCAATAATATAGACATATATTATTGTGGCGAGCATTTGGCCCAAGAATATATATACAAAAGACGTATATATATCAATCAACTGAAGATAAGAAGAAATTAAGAAGATTCAACATCACCATCCATTCCATCTACATTTTTACACAGGTGCCCACTCTGCCTTACCTAGCACAGCTTCGGGGGTGCCCTGACGTGGCCAGAAGGACACCTCCTTCCCCCGTGACAGGGCTCCTTTCAACGCCCCACCTTCGGGCGCCTTGAGGATCGACCCGACACTGGGGGCGGCTCAAGATCTGTTCGCCCAGCACTGTGGCTCCAGACAGGAGCAGACAGCCCACTAGGTAAGTCCAGGAATGCCTAGTTCGCCTAACGGTTGTGCCGGCCCTGGTCAGATGAGACCATAATCCAGCTCTTTGGCATCAATTTAATTTGCCGTGTTTGGAGGAGGCTGCCTATGATCCCAAGAATCCCATCCCCAACGTCAAACATGGAGGTGGAAACATTGTGTTTTGGGGTGTTTTTCTGCTAAGGGGACAGGACAACTGCACCGCATCAAAGGGGCGATAGATGGGACCATTTACCATCAAATCTTGGGTGAGAACCTCCTTCCCTCAGCCAGGGAATTAAAAATAGGTCGTAGATGGGTATTCCAGCATGACAATAACCCAAAACACACAGCCAAGGAAACAAAGGAGTGGCTCAAGAAGAATCACATTAGGGTACTGGAGTGGCCTAGCTAGTCTCCAGACCTTAATCTGATAGAAAATCTGTGGAGTGAGCTGAAGGTTCGAGTTGCCAAACGTCAGACTCGAAACCTTAATGACTTGGAGAGAATCTGCAAAGAGCAGTGGGACAAAATCCCTACTGCGATGTGTGCAAACCTGGTGGCGAACTACAAGAAACGTTTGACCTTTGTGATTGCCTACAAGGTTTTTGCCATCAAGTACCATGCAAATCAATTTATAACTTTTTTGACATGTATTTTTCTGGATTTTTTTTTTGTTATTCTGTCACTGTTAAAATACACCTACCATTAAAATTATAAACTGTTCATTTCTTTGTCAGTGGGCAAACATTCAAAATCAGCAGGATCAAATATGTTTTCCCTCACTGTAAACACTATCTGATTACCAATAAATGGAAACAACCACAGGGTGGCAGGGACTGGTCAAAATGTAATGCCAACATGGGCATGTGCGTCGATGTTGTGATGATGCACGATCACTTCATTATTGTCAGCAGTGGAGGCAGAGCTATAAATAAACTCTGTGGTGATGTGGCCTGTCATAAAGTCACATGGATGTGGAACAGTATGGGAGGTGGACCAGATTGGCATCTGCCATGGGATATGAGGCTACCTCGGGTTACTCATAGTGAAGCTGCACCAATCGAGTGTGTTATCATACCTTTTTGACAAGGAAGTCTTTCCGGCATAAGGAGGCGTGACTAAGGAGGCAAGATAATGGTTCAGATTCTGCACAACATTTATTGGTGCCCGGAGTGTCCCTTTGAACTGCATGATGTGGATTATGGTTTCTGTATCCCTGCTGCTTAGCAGATATACCCTGATAAAAACATGCATTTCTTGAATATTGCAACAGCAAGAGCAGAAGGATAATTACATAGTCACATAGTAATCTAGGTGGAAAAAAAAGTCTCAAGTCCACTGAGTTAGACCTTTAAACGTGTCTTTTTATGCTTTTTATCCAAAAGAAGGCAACAAAAATGATTTTAACCGGTGGTCAGTTAGCTCACAATAAGGAGAATAAATCCATTGTGACACCATAATGTCAAATTGTTTTCTCTGTGAATCAACAACCTGTTGACATGACTATTAATTATATGCTTGCAAGGTGGCAGCTGTTAAAGTCTTAATACGGTGGTGTGCCAGACTCAACCCACAGAATTTGATTCCACACCTCTCATGGAAACCCCAACTCCTGATATATTGAACTCATGAAATATTAAAATATCAAATTAAAAAAAATATATAGAAAACTTTATATAATTTGTTTAATAATTTGACAAGCACATTTTAAACAAATGAATGAGTGGCACACGTCTTGCATTTAAAAGGTTAAAACATATAATTATGTATTACTTAGGATGCATGGAATTGCTAGGGTTAATTCATTATTATGCTCCTGGTTTGATACAATAAATTATGCTAAAATATGAAATTATTTCAATTGTCCGCAAAGAAAGAACTGTCAAATAGATTTCGGAATACAGACCAGGCACCATGACCACTTCAGTGACTTGAAGTAATATAGAGCATTATGGAATTTATTGAAAATTATGATATTGGGAGTCATTACATAAAGAGTAGAAATAATTTATGTCAAAGTAAAAGGCTAGAAAACGTATGAGAGGGAATTAGATTATGCGTCCATACATGGAAAGTAATAATATATTAAAGAGGCACTCCAGGTTTGAGATAACCCTCACTTTTTAAATTAATTTAAAAAAATTAGAACAAGATGTTGGCTGGTGCATAGAAAGGTATTATTTAAATGCCAGAAATCAAATATTGACATCATATTTTAGGGGGAAATGCCCTTATTGGCAAATTTAGCAGTTTATATTATATAAGCTTGAGACTGAATATTTTTCATTACAATGAGACTTCACATTGTTACAATTACAATTGTGTGCACTCACATAAAACATATTTGTGCTAAAAAAAATTCAATTATGTTTCTTAACAAAACAAAAACAGCATAGCTTAATTTCAGACTAATTTTACAAGCAATACACTCATAAATGTAGACTCCTCGTTTATTCTGAGTCAGTCATAAAAGTGCATAACACAATAGTCTCTGATACCTGCTGCTTTGAGATGCCAGCACAGTAATCCTTTACTTCCACATTCACACTTTCAATTTCATAAAATGTTGTGTATTATGTGATGTTAATTCTTTGCTTTTGTATTCACAATTACAGAATGATAAACAGGTTGTAGGAGGGGATGTGCCTGTAGTTTGGAATACTCTAAAGGTGGACAATTTGAAACTTGACCTGAAGAACCCTTAAAGACTGGAGGTCTTGGTGAGGAGGATGGTTTCTTCAAAGGTGGTGATAGGTCAATTTCTGTATACACATGTTGCTTTTCCATCTCTTCTCTGTTCAACAATTCAGTGGAATTTGGGCAAAATGTAGTAGTTTTATTTTCATCCATGTTGATCCACTGATTAAGATAAAGACAAATGTGAAAAGCCATTCTATTGTACATACATATCATTTCAAACCAAGGCCTTGATTACATTTCAGCCATTCATTTAGTTTTTATGTTGAAAATATAGGCTTCAGTGATTCAATTGGATGGGCATGCTGGATACAACAGCTAAGAGCTGTTACACACCACCCATGTCCCCACAAACCATGTTGCGAGTGGGGTGGATGTTCACTAAATGGACAGCTCCTACAGGGGACTGGTGCCCATGGGGGCTTCAAATTACAGAACAGAGGTGCAGTGTAAATTTTGATGGAAAATTTCAATTTAGTTTTAATCATAGACTTTTGATTAAAAAGCCATTTTAGTTTTAGTCATATTTTAGACATCTGAATTGTTTTCGTTTATGTGTAGTTTTAGTTGACTAAACCTCCAGTAGATTTTAGTTGATACATCTAAAATCTAATGGGTTTAGTTAAAGCCTCTATCTGTCTCTTTTTCTCCTTCACTAGCCCGTGTTTCTTTGTCTCTCTCCCAAACCCATGTCTGTCTCTTTGTCTGTGTCTTTTCCAATTCCACTTGTCTGTCTCTGTTGCCCATTCCCCAGCCCCTCTGTGTGTCTCTTTCTCCCCACAGCCCCATTTGTGTTTATCTTCCCCCCCCCAGCACTCTCTTTCTTCTCCAGCCCATGTTGCTCTATGTTGCTTTGTTGTCAGGATTACTAGTTGATTCAGCAAGCAGAATTATATCACACCTAGGACTAAGGATAATGTTTAACCAGACCCTAGAATGCCAGACTTAACGTATCCAAGAATAGTCAGAATACTTGCCGAGGTCAGGGATACAGAAGGAGACACAACGGTGAGGGAAAGACAAAAGTCAAGGATACCAGAAATTAGGGAAGCCAAAACGAAGCCAAAGTCAAAAACCAGAAATAATAAGTTCAGGAACACACTCTCAAATAACCAGCAAAGGGAAACCACGACAGGGCACTGATCAAAAGGCAATTTGGGTTTAAATAACCCTCCTAAAGCTGTAATTGGCTGTAAGTGGCCTCTGAACCCAAAACGTACTGGTACGTCTATGACGTGACGTCGCACGCACGGAAGCACCATCTTTAATGTGGGTTATAGCTATTTTTCCATTAAAACCGGATGTACCAAAACAGATACAATATTTTGAGGAATACCATGTAGTCTGACAATGTCACATATAAATATAAGAACCAGATCTTGAAAAGATGGCAATTTTTTTGAGTGGAATAAAATGAGCCATCTTGGAAAAGTGGTCATCCACCATAAGGATGGTGGTATAACCATTTTAACTCTGAAGTTCCACGATGAGATCCATGGAAAGTGGAACCATGGAACACTGGTTACAGGAAGTAGATGTAACAATTCCCATGGAAGTTTATGAGGAACCCTAGAAACTGCACATGTGGAACCATGGAACACTGGTTACAGGAAGTAGATGTAACAATTCCCATGGAAGTTTATGAGGAACCTTAGAAACTGCACATACAGAGCAGGCCTCCACATATTCTTTGAAATCCTTCCTGAGTGAATCCCACCAAAGTGATCTCGAGACAGCGATATGGTCTTATTAATATTTGGATGCCCAGCAGCCACATTTTTGCGGAATACTCTCATTACCTCCTCTCTTTTAAGCAACAGAATAAACAATTTATCTAGAAGTTTTTTTGCAAGAAAAGAACAATGGAAGCAATGATACACTCAGGTGGAACAATAGGGGATGTCTCTTGTTCTTGTTCTGATTCAATGTCAAACTGCCCAGATAAGGCGTCAGCTTTAAAATTCTTGGGACCAGGTCTGTAAGTGATAATAAAGTTAAAGCGAGATAAGAACAAAGACCATCTAGCCTGTCTAGAAGACAGTCATTTAGCATCACCTATATATGCCAATTTTTTGTGATCAGTTATGATCAGAAGGGGTTCCTTGGAACCCTCTAAAAGATGTCACCATTCTTTAAGCACTAGTATAATGGCCAAAAATTCTCTGTGACCAATATCGTAGTTACGCTCCGCTGGAGACAACTTTCTAGAAAAGTACCCGCAAGGATGCAAAGGGGTATCCTAACTCTCCCTCTGAGAAAGAACAGCCCCTACCCCTGTTTCGGAGGCATCAACCTCCAGTATAAAGATTTGCTAGTGTCAGGATGTACCAAAATGTCAGCAGATGCAAAAAAAATTAAGAAGCTCGAAAGCCTCTCTAGCTTCCTTAGACCATATAGTACAACTAGCCCCCTTATGTGTCATATTGGTGATGGGGGCTATCACAGAAGAGAACCCTTTGATAAATCTCCTATAGTAATTAGCAAAACCAATAAACTTTTGAATGGCTTTTAACCCATTGGGTAATGGCCAGTGTAGAACAGCCACTAGTTTACCAGTATCCATTTGGAAACCAGAGGCTGAAATCTTTTACCCCAAAAACTTTACCTCCGTCTGGTCAAAGATGCATTATTCAAGTTTGCAATAAAGCCCATTTTCAAGCAAAGTTTGCAGCACTTGTTTGACATGTTTATGATGAGTCTGGAGGTCGGGGGAATAAATAAGGATATCATAAAGGTATACTAGAACAAAATAATAAATATAATCTCTGAGCACATCATTAATAAAGTCCTGATACCAAAGGGCATGACAAGGTACTTATAGTGCCCACTTCTAGTGTTAAATGCTGTTTTCCACTCATGATCTTCCTTAATTCTTACCAAACTGCACGCACTCCTAAGGTCAAGTTTAGTAAATATCTTAGCACCCTGGAGTCTGTCTAACAATTCGGAGATAAGGGGAATGAGATAGGCATTTTTTATGGTGATCTTGTTTAATGCCTTATAATCAATGCATGGGCGTAATTCTCCATCTTTTTTGGATTCAAAAAATAACTCTGCTCCAGCAGGCGAGGATGACTTACGTATGTGGCCTCTAATTAAAGAATCTTTGATGTAATCATCCATGATTCTACTCTCCTGTAAGGATAAGGCATATACTGCCCCCTTAGGGGGCATAACGCCGGGTAGTAGATCTATGGAGCAACCATATGATCTGTGAGGAGGTAGAATATTAGTCTGACTCTTACTCAATGCCTCTTTAACACCCCAGTACTGTATGGGAATTGCAGAGGTCTGAGGTGTAGCAGTCAGTACAGTACCGATGCCCACTCTCTTTGTAATGGAGAACACACATCTCTCAATGCAGTCTTTACCCCATTCCAGTATTTCCCCCTTAGCCCAGTCAATATGAGGGTTGTGATTGATGAGCCATGGAAATCCTAATTTGATCGGACAAGAAGGGGAAGCAATTATCTGAAATGTTATGTTTTCCTTATGTAAGGCTCCTATAGTAATGCTAATAGACATGGTTTTGTGGGTAATCAGGGGTTGAGAGAGGTTTCCCGTAAATAGCCTCAACGGCCAGAGGTGGTGATCTCTCCTTGATAGGTATGAAGGGTTTATTACAAAATGCATGTTAATAAAGATTCCTGCCGCACCTGAGTCCATGAGGGCTTTGCATGAAAAGCTTTTCTTGTTGCAAAGGGCGGTGATGTCAAGAAGAAATCTACTTTGGGTATTACCAGAGGACATATCCATCACACCTAAGACCTTTCCCCTAAAGGTTCTTAGGTGCGGAAGTTTTCCGGACATATGGAACAAGCACCTCTCATATGTCCTTTTTTGCCACAGTATAAACAAAGACCTTCTTTTCCTCTTATACTGTTTCTCTGCCTCTGACAGTCTAGTAACCCCTAACTGCATAGGTTCGGGTTTGGCACAGGTTCGGTACAGAGAGGTCAGGGACAATAGGTTTGGAGAAACGAGGTGCCAGTGACATAGCCATACATCTGGTTCTATTTCTAGTAATTTCCCTGGTCCTAAGTCTGTTATCAATCTGCATCACATATGTGATGAATTCATTTTACCTCTTAGGTAGATCTTTGTCAGCAATTTCATCAAGAATAGCCTTGGATAATCATTCTTTAATTGCAGAGATCAATCCTCTATTAGTCCAGTGTTCCTCAGAAGCCAAGGTGCGAAATTCTATGGCATTATCTGAGATAGACCGGTTCCCTTGTTTGATACACATTAGGGCAGTGGAAGCCTCATCTTCCCTGACTAATGTTTCAAATGTTAATTTGAATTCCGCAAGTAATTCCTGGTAATTATAAGCAATACTCCTATTACTCTCCATAATGGATTGGCCCAAGCTAAGGCTTTACCTTTAAGTTGGTTCATCAAGTACCCAATTGTAGCTCTATTCGTGGGAAAATACCCCAGTGAGGCCTCAAAGTGGTACTCAATCTGATTGAGAAATCCCCAACATTCTTGAATATTACCATCATAATGTGGAGGAGGAAATAGGGAGATAGTAGGTGCCTTATATACTATAGGTGGAGGTACATTAGGCGGAGGTGAAATAGTCGGAGGAACATCAGGCTGTAAATGAGCTGTCCGATTAAAAAGTGTACTGAAAGCCTGGGCAAATTGATCCATACGGTGATCATTTTCCTCTAGCTTTCTCTTGCAAGCTGCTATGTGTTGACACAATTCTGCAGGATCTATGGCCAAGTCGTAATGTCAGGATTACAAGTTGATCCAGCACGTAGAATTATATAACACCTAGGATTAAGGATAACGTTTAACCGGACCTTAGAATGGCCAGACTTAACTTATACAAGAATAGTCAGAATACTTGCCGAGGTCAGGGATACAGAAGGAGACACAACGATGAGGGAAAGACAAAAGTCAAGGATACCAGAAATCAAGTCAAAACAAAGCCAAAGTTAAAAACCAGAATAATAAGCTCAGGAACACACTCTCGGATAACCAGCAAAGGGAAACCATGACAGGGCACTGATCAAAAGGCAATTTGGGTTTAAATAACCCTCCTAAAGCTGAAATTGGCTGTAAGTGGCCTCAGACACCAAAACGTGCGTGCACGTCTATGATGTGACGTCGCACACACGTAAGCGCCAAATTTAATGTGGGCTAAGGCTATTTCCCCATTAAAACTGGAACCACAGTGGCCGGCGTCTCCAGGAATTTTGCACACTCTGGGGACCAGGACGGAAGAATGTCAGGTAATGGGCACGCCGACAGAAATGCATTATTTCTGTCGGCGTGACCCCTGAGTTTCCATGCGGTCAGGCCGACAGAATCCCATGGCACTGTGACATTTGTGTCCTCCAAGCCCCTCAATGCATCTCATCTCTCCTGAGACATGTGTCTCAAGCACCCAGGCTCCCATGTGTGTCAATTCCTCCCTCAAGTCCCTCCATGTGCTAATTTACCCCCCAGTCCAGTTATGTGCCTCATTCCCCAGCCTCCCATATGTCTCATTTTCTCTCCTCCCTCCCCAAGCGTCCCATCTGCCAGTGTATATTTTGGAAGCAAATTTATATTTAGTTTTAATCATAATTTTAAAGTGAGGCTGTGGGAAATTACTTTGTATTTGATTCAATGATTCTCTTAACTCTATTAAATAACAAAGTCCTTTTTTATATATGCCAATAAATATATATTTAAGAATGGCTTACCAAGTGGGCAGGAATTTTGCCTTGACGCTTACCTAGTTAAGAGTATTTAGAAAGAGAAAAAGATGTTACTGAAAAACTAATCTTATATAATACACGTGGTCAAAATATGAGGGTTCACAAAAATAGATCTTACTTTTTTCAGTAGAACAGCTTTATGACTAAAGTAAAGTATTCTATTAAAACAGGCATATGTAGCCTACTTTTGTAAACTAACACACATCAGTACTATCAAAGAAAGGTAGCAGATTAAGAGACAATCAGTTTTGGCGTTTGCAGTTGTCTCCAGATGGACAATAAACGCTGGACACTATGTGGTTCCCATTTACAATGTAATTTATTGAAAAAGAAAAAAATACAAAAACATATGAATTACAAATTCATCATAATAGTGAAAGACTTCACCTTACAGACAGAGGAGAAAGTACATAAATCAAAGAAAAATAATTAAAAACAGTCCATGTGGATGCATTTCGTGCACTTACTCAACGTCAATCACACCTGAAACAAGAAGTTCTTTTCCAATAGGCATGCTTAACATATTTGTGTAAACCTATACAATATATCTGTAATATAAAAGAAGGGTAATGCAAATGAAACAAGGTGGGCACACTCGACTAAACAACAAAATAGCCCCAGGAAAAGGCTAATATAATGAATACTGGGTGCTCACCCACATAAGTATCAAAGATAATGCAAATGAAACAAGGCGGGCACACTCGACTAAACAACAAAATAGCCCCAGGATATAAAAGAAGGGTAGCAGACAAGGATCATCGGTAGGGGGCCCTGGGTCTTTTTTAGCATATATAAATTTCTAGCCTCAATTGCGTCACCAGCCAAAGATTCAGGGAGTGTGTAATTCAAAAAGTCTATTGCCAGATATTTGGTGATTTCATGTACTACATACTAAAGACAATGCTGGCAGCACTTTAAGGGATATGTAGTTCACAGCATCTCGAGTGCTAAAGATTGCTACCCTTGGTCTGTATATGATTGAGTGTGCATTTGTGTAACTATGAGTGTATATCTCTATGTGCACATGTGACTGTGTCTAGATACATGCACCCACTTTGGATTTGTCTTCCTGCATGCTATACAAATCAAAGCTGGTCAAAAGCTCTGTAAAATGTGAGTGAGCATTTACAACGTGCATATGATCTGTTGCCCCTCCTTTTGTATAAATCTGCACTGCTGGTTTCTATTTTCTGTTGTTTTTTAAAAAAAAATTGTATGTACGTGTAAATCAAAGCCCTACTTTACTGGAAGCAAGACTATTGGATACAGAAAAATTGTGGGCTATATCTGGTAGGGCTCTCTTTCATAATTTGCCATTTTCTGTTATAGTTGGTGTTTGGCACTACCTGTGTTTTTCCTTTTTTTTCCATTTGTTCTTACTATTAGAATGATAAGGGAGTTCCCCCTCCCCAACAGTGTGTGCTGCCTTATCTAACCTATTGTTGATTAGCCTGGTGTTTATATATATATGTAAGTATATATATATATATATATATATATATATATATATATATATAAATATATATATATATATATAAAGATATATAGATATATAGATAGATATACACATATATTAGGTTACTGCTGAGCCTGCATAGCTCCTGCCAGTGCCACTTACAAATCTTTGAGTGAGATAGATAGCCTGGGTCATTGATCTTATGGTAAGATTGTTAGGTTACTGTTGTGCCTAGCTCTGCCAATGGCACAGTGCCACTTACATAAACTTTACATTTGGTGGTAGATATATCCTAAATAATAATAGTTTTATTGATCCTACTAGTTTAAAATTGGTGGTTAGGTTATCGCTGTGCCTAGTTACTGACACTTAAATCAACTTTAATTCACTGATTAAATGTTTGTTTTTTGTTTAACAGTTTTTAAAAAGAATTTATTTTGTGGTTTTAGTCGAGTGTGTGCAACACAATAATGTTACAGTAGTAAATCTACTAAGCAACAACCCATTTTACTACAAAAAAATATTTGTGCTGAAAAAAAGTAGTTTACACAATCCTTCATATCCAAAATTTATATTAATAATAGAAACAAAACCACCATCCTCAAAGTTGCATCCTTATCATAAGAATAAAATGAGTAAGAGTATTTGAAAGGCTTGTGGCCTCTCAAAGACTTAACACCTCTGCCTCGGACACCAGGGCGGCTGACATCTCTGCCACCAACACCACCAAAACCACAACCACCACTGTGTACCACTGCTTGTTGTAATAGTCAGACTCAGTGACTAGCATGTCTGTTATGTCTGATCCACCACCCAGGAAGCAAATGTGCTTTTTTTTTTTTTTTTTATATTAAAATAGGTAACTCAAAAGTAGCAAAATAAAGTGTTGTTGCAGCAGCTAGATCCATGAAGAGAAGCCACAGCATAACTTCTGCTGCCACTTCTACCTGCACTGCAGCTTATTCTACCACAGCTAATCTAAGCATTACAGCGTCTGTGTTTTATAGTGCTCGAAGCCAGGGTTTGGTGAAACTAAAGGACTTGTTGACATTGCCAATGATGCACCATATTTTGTCGCCCCCACAAAAAGCAACTAAGAAAGAGCTTAGCAGAAACTTTGTCTTTGCCAACAAAGACAGCCTTTACTGAATTGTAGCCCCATGCAGCCAAAGCACAGCTAAGCGAAAAAAGGGCCTTGACAGGGGTTAGGAGGCGGGCATAGGAGGAGGGAAGGAAGTATGGAGTTATGGTAAAGTAGGCTGGGCTATTTAAATAGGCAGCCATTTTAAATGAGCTCACTTCTAATTTCCAACCTGACCAAGTTTGTGTGCACTTCTGTGTGTGCAGATTGGGTTAGGTAGGGCCTTTTTTCCTTCTTGTCATTTCTGCAGGGCCATGGACGAAGTGGAGAGGCTGCTAGAGGGGATCCGGTCAGCAGCGCGAGGTCATGGAGCGGATTGGTTGCGGGCCCAACTCGGACCGGCCCTGGCGGGAATGGCGGCCCAGGAGGGCACACAGGATCGTCCAGTGCGGGCCAGGAGGCCGCCGCGGAGGCTGAGCCCGGGCGTGGGGCCCGGTGAAGCTGGAGCCAGCGGGCGCATGGCGGCGGGAGGAGGCCGCAGCAGGCCCGGTAGCAGCGCGGTCGAGGCCCCGCCTCCCAGCGCGCTACCGGGGCCTTGGGGACATGCTGCGCGGCGGGCGGCTGCCCGTGACGGCGGCGGTCCGGCTCCCAGGTCGGAGGGGGCCGCGCCAGGAGGGGGCCGGCCGCCCCCTGGAGTGATGGACCACGTGGGGCCGCGGCCCAGGAGGACGACCAGGAGGTCAGCGGATGCAGCAGGCGGGGCCGAACCGTGAAGCCGTCCGGCAGGCCCCAGGACAGACAGGCAAGTGCAGGGGGCCCCGCCAGGGGCTCTCTTGGCGTGCTGGGTGCTGGGAAGGAGTTGCCTGGGGGTAGTGGAGACGGAGGGACGGGGGGTACTAGGCCGGCCACTCTAGGGTTACAAGGGGAAAGGAGGGGGGTCGTGGGCGGTGCCCAGGGTAGTTCAGTGGTACTGGAGAAGGGGCGGGTAGTGAGGGGGAAGAGGTCAGGGGCGCCTAAGGGGTCCCTCAGTGCTACAAGATTAGACAGGGGGTCTCCCTCTGGGATTAGGGGTGGGCCTGGGCCTGTGGGGCAGTCGGGGCCCCTGGGAGCAGGGGGGTTAGTTGATCAGGCAGTGGCTAGGCTGGATAAAGGGGGTGTTGAAGGCCGGGGAGCCCGTCCAGGTGGGGGTGGGGGGTTGGCCCGGGTGGACAGGCAGGTGCTGGGGCGCAGTGGCAGGAGGGGGGGGTCTAGCTCGGGGTCTAGCAGCATTAGCCCATCCCCAGTTAGGGATCAGGGAGCTGGGGGAGCTAGGGGTAGGTCAAGACAGGACAGTTCCACCTCTGAGGGGTCGGACAGGAGCAGGGTCAGGGCCCCCAGGCATGGTCGGCGGGGGCGGACCGAACGCTGGGGGGGAAGGAGTCGTAGCCCACGGGGCGGGGCCATCCAGGCCTCTGGAGCACGGACTACGGGCACCACACGGAGGGAGGCTTTGGTGAAGGGCAGGCGCTCCCCGGGTCGGGGTGAGAGGGTGACAGGGGATCGTTACACCCTACCCAGGACATCTTCTCCTCGTTACAGGTCTCGGAGCCGGTCATCTTCTGTGTTAGCTGGGCACCGGGTTGGCTCCCCGGTCGGCGGGGCGTTAACGGAGGTCGCTCCTCCCGGACGGATTACAGTGGACAACGCAGCCCCCAGCGCTCGGAGACCGGGGGGCTTGGCCGGTGAGTCCTGTGCCTCGTTGCAATCCAGTACATTGATTCACACACTACAAACACTTCTCCACTCGCTGGGAGCGGGGGGTGACACGGGTGGCGGTGTAGGTCAGGTGTGGGCACAGGGGACAGGGGCCACGGGTGTTATCTCCGCAGAACCGAGTTCGAGCGGGGATTCGGGAGCGGCTGGCAGCAGGGCGGACGCAGCGAGTGAGCGGGCGGAGTTGACTGGTGGGGGGGTCCCTGATGCGGCCAGACAGCACGCATACGTGTCGTTCGCTGGTCCGCTCGGGGTGCACCTCAAACAGGAGGTGAAAGACAAGATCTGGAAGGGCGAATTCTGTGAAATCTTTTCCCTTCTCCCCTTAGAGGAGTTTATAGACCTCAAGGAGGAAGATAAGAAAGACGAGAAAAAAGAGGAGGAGGAGAAAAAGAAGCGGTATCGTAAGATACCGAAATCTTTTGGCAACTGGCTAAGGGCGTTCTGCGTCCTGGCCAGTGTCCTAGGTGAGAAATCGCCGGAATCGTGCTCCTCCCTGTTTTGCTATTTAGACGGAATTTGGGAGGCATACCGCACCTACGGCGGGCTGGCGTGGTGGCGGTATGATGAGCAGTTCCGGCAGCGCTTGGCGGCTAATCCGGGTATGAGATGGGACCAAATGGACCTGCCCCTCTGGATGAAATTGATGATGGCGCAGAAGGCGCAGCCCTTTCAGCACACGGCCGGCGCAAAGGGGCAGTCCGCCTCGTCGGCCGCCTTGCAAAAGGGCTTATGCTGGCTCTTCAATGAAGGCCAGTGCAAATGGGGGAACACCTGTCGTTTTAAGCACGAGTGCTCCGGCTGCGGGGGCACACACGGGCTTAACCGATGCTTCAAAAAGGGGAAGTCAGGACATACCGGAGTCGCTGCTACGGTTGGGGGGGGAGGAGGGGTCTCCTCTGCCCCGGGGCTTAACCCCGGTGAGGCTAGACGCGATGGAGCCATGGCTAAGCCGCTACGGTAACAGGGCAGACGCCGAGTTGCTACGGGCGGGCTTTGGGCAAGGGTTTTTTATCCCGTTCCGGGACAGGGGGGATCTGGGGTGCGGCGCAACCTTAAGTCGGTGGCGGAGTTCCCGGGGGTGGTGCGGGAGAAATTAGAAAAGGAAGTTTTATTGGGTAGGATGGCGGGCCCGTTCTCGGCACCGCCGTTGGAAGGCCTTAGGGTTTCCCCGCTCGGGGTGGTACCCAAGAAAGAGCCGGGGAAGTTCAGGCTCATCCACCACCTCTCCTACCCCAAGGGAGCGTCGGTGAATGATGATATCGACAAAGAGTTGTGCTCGGTCTCATATGCATCATTCGACCGGGCGGTCGAGCTGGTTAAGAAGGCCGGGCGCGGGGCGCTGATGGCAAAGGTGGACATTGAGGCAGCATTTCGGCTGCTTCCGGTCCACCCGGCATGTCACCACCTTCTGGGGTGTTTCTTTGAAGGGGCATACTTTGTGGACTTGTGCCTCCCCATGGGCTGTTCC